TCGGCTGCAGTACAACAAAATTCATCCGTCCTCATCTGGTAAGCTCGACCAACGAATCTCTTCTTCATTCACTTTCACACGAACTGAAAGTCCCCCTAACATAAAAAGAGAGCAAACGAGCCTTTATTATATAATTACCTATGGTATATTATGCTCTCCATAACTTAACTAATTAGGAGCAAATGGAAGAGATGCGTCTGAAAGAGGAGAGAATGGAACGGTCAATGTCTGATGTAGCAGCCGAGAACCGTCGCCTCCTTGATCCACTTAACAAGGCGAAGGAGGAGAACATAGAGCTAAAACGGCAGCTGGCCAGTTACGAAAAAGACAAGGTTGCACTCAAAGTATGTCCAATCCCTAATAAGATTTTCATTTTCTCTTTACGTAAATTAAAACACAGCCACTATTTTCATGAATCAAATCTATAATTGTCTTATTATGAAACAGCAAATAAAAATGCTATACAAAATGGGTTGAAAGTTTGTGGTTAATATTCACTCTGGGCTCATGAAAAATATTTGTGTATTCAAATTAAAGAGCCTGTTTCAAATATTTCATCATAATTTAAAATAAGGATTATTCATATTAGAATAAAGAGCGGATTTCTATGAATATCCTGAGAGAATATTATTTTTGAGACTTTAATTTCTTATTAAAGAGCATGATGAAGCGACAGATCTCACCAGAAGAAGACGGATCATCCCCGTTGTTCTAAAGCCATTTGGATTCATTAAGTCATATTAAAATACGACGTTCAAGTTAGTGCAGCCCACGAGACATCCTTCCTCGTCTTTGGCGAAAAGTGACTGAGCTTACCTTCCTCATATCATCAGAGCTAGGGCTAATTCTTGTAATAAGCAGAGCTAAGGTTAAGTAAAGACAATTGACCACCTGATTTCTCATATATATATATATATATATATATATATATATATGAGATTTATTTATTCTATTTAGTTTTAGGGTAAGGAAGAAGTGTTAGTTAAATTTTTTCACAACGATATGAGTAAAAGTGGGTTAACCTCGTTGTCGCAACTTGGTCTTGTTTTTAGGGAGACTATGTAGAACGCACCTAGTCCTATGTCGTCTGCTATAGTAGTTGTCATGACTCACAGCATCTGACAGTGGACTTGATACATTCTCAAATGTTTCGCGGGCATCGTAGCCGGCATCATCAGTGAACTTTGCCATTCTCCGCACCAAGCTACGAACTCGTCAAAGCGACAAGTCAAGTCAATACCTCGACAACCGTTCTGCTGGAAACGGTTACACTA